GTTATAGACAGAGTTATAGACAGAGTTATAGACTCAGTGTTATAGACTCAGAGTTATAGACTCAGAGTTATAGACTCAGTGTTATAGACTCAGAGTTATAAACTCAGAATTATAGACTCTGAGCTGTGGTGACCTGAGCTTGTTTCAGTTTTTGGTCCAGCTCTGTGGAGGAGGAACCTCTCCTCCACACCAACTGTTCAGATTCTACAGAACCGGGCTCAGAACCAGAACCAGGTCCAAGCTGCCAACTCTCAGTTTTCACACGATTCTACTCTGAGCTGCGTTCATCCAGCAACAGGTGGAGAAACTCTGCAGGGGATTAGATAACGTGACCCCCCCCCCCCATCATCAGCATCATCATCAACATCAACATCATCATCAACATCATCATCTTCTTCTTCATCACCATCATCATCAACAACAACAATGAGCTCAGAGAGCTGCTTCTTCATCACTCCTCTTCATCATGTCCTCAGGATGCAGTTTGTTATAAAACCTGTTAAAGATTAAATAAAAGATTAATCTGATTTCATCTTTAATCCAGATTAAAAACCTAATCTAATAAAATAAAATCTGTTTCCTGTGTGAAAGAAGAGCAGAAAGACAGAAAATGATCAGATCCAGCAGAGTTGTAGCGCCACCTGGAGGAGACACTGAGCAGCACAGCGTCTAATTTAACTTTTACATTTATTAAATTAATTAATTTAAACAGATTTAATCTCTGCTTCAGCTGCAGAGACAAACTGTCTGCAGACATCAGACTGGATTTATTCTGCGTAAAATAAAATCAGTTCTTCGTTTTATTTTATTTTATTTTATTTAAACTTTAGACCAACAGCTAGAAAATCATTTATTTTTATTGTTCTGAGAGTCTGTTCAGTTTGTCCTCAGTCTGCTGTGTTGGACTCAGACTGGGACGGGTCAGAATCAGAACCGAGCCGCTGCAGCTGAGTTAAATCCCTCAGGGACTCAGGAGGACCAGGAGGACCAGGAGGACTCAGGAGGACCAGGAAGGAGCGAGTTTTATTGTGGGTCAGGACTGGAAGAGGTTCTGGTCCTTCTAGGTTTTTTTTTTTTTCTGACAGAGTCGGACTCATGAGATCCAGAACCAGGAGACCAGGTCCGGGTTCAGATGGCTGATGTGGAACTGAGAGACACCGGAGGGAGGGACTCTTCAGGACCACGGACAGAGAACTGGACTCCGGCCCGGACTGAGACCCGGGAGGATCAGGTGGTGGAGGGTCCAGGACCAGGGACCAGGTCTGAGTCTTTCACGGAGACAGAAACCTGCTTCAGACACGGTGCTGAGGACCAGGTGGGCTCAGGACCACCCACCTGTCCTCAGTCCTCCTCAGSGGACCTGTTTGAGGACGAGGACGACCCGGAAGTGGACGAGCTGTCCTCGGCCCGGTCCTGGAGGTCTGTGGACTACAGCCTGGTCCTGGCCGGGTCCTGCTTGTTGACAGGTGTCTCTCTGGTCCTCATCACGTACACGCTCCCCCGCCACGTGCGCGTGGACCCGGACAGCGTGTCCGCGCGGGAGATGGAGCGGCTGCAGCGGGAGCGCGCCCGCGTGGGGGTCCACCTGGACCGGTGCGTCATGGCGGGTCTGAGCCTGCTGACCCTGGGGGGTCTCCTGCTGTCCACCCTGCTCATGTCCTCCATGTGGACCAGGTTCTACGGGTCCACCAGTCTGAGGACCAGTCCGTCCCAGGAGGCCGGATCACACGTGTCCACGGAGGAGGACCTGGAGGTCTTCAGAACTGATGGACAGGACCAGGACTGAACAGAACCAGGACTGAACTGGACCAGGACTAAACTGGACCAGGACTGAACTGGACCAGGACTAAACTGGACCAGGACTGAACTGGACCAGGACTGAAGAGGACCAGGACTGAACTGGACCTGGACTAAACTGGACCAGGACTAAACTGGACCAGGACTGAACTGGACCAGGACTAAACTGGACCAGGACTGAACTGGACCAGGACTGAAGAGGACCAGGACTGAACTGGACCTGGACTAAACTGGACCAGGACTAAACTGGACCAGGACTGAACTGGACCAGGACTAAACTGGACCAGGACTAAACTGGACCAGGACTGAACTGGACCAGGACTGAACTGGACCAGTATAAATTAAGTTTCAGTTTCAGCTTTGCTGCTGAACTCTGTCATTTATTTAGTTATTAAAGAATTAAATAAACAAACTAATTAATTAATTCATGTGGGTCCAGGGTCTGGGTGTGGATCAGTTCTCTGTGGACCAGGAATCATCAGACTGAATAAAAACCCGACCAGAACCAGAACCAGAACCCTGACAGTCTCACATTAAGTTATTTATAATAATCCCCTGAGTGTTGCTTAGCAACAGGAGGCAGAGAGGAAACCTTCATCATCATCATCATCATCATCATCATCATCATCTGTCACTGATCCAGACCCAGAACCACCACAGAACCGGGTTTTGGACCTGTTTCTGGTCTCAGGTTTCAATGAACTCTTCCTCCACATGATTTAAAGTCTCCAGATGTTCTGATCCGGTTCTGATCCGGGTCTGACCTGGTTCTGATCCGGGTCTGACCTGGTTCTGATCCGGTTCTGATCTGGTTCTGATCCAGGTCTGATCTGGTTCTGATCCAGGTCTGATCTGGTTCTGATCCAGGTCTGATCTGGTTCTGATCCGGGTCTGACCTGGTTCTGATCCGGGTCTCTTACAGGATTTATTTTTCCATCTCAAACCTTCTGTCTTCATGTCCAACCTGTTGAGACGTGACGACAGGTTCTGATGAGTTCATACATCTTTAGACTGTGACTCATCAGAACCACAGGACCAGAACCAGAACCAGACCCAGTACCCAGCAGCAGCTCCTGTCAGTCTGAGTGGACCACGAAGGGTTCTGGAGCCAAACTGGGTCCAACATTTTCATCAAACACAAACCAAAGATTCACCATCAGGATGATGTTTGTTTCTGAAAACAAACAAACAAACAAACAAACAAACAAACAAACAAACAAACAAACAAACAAACAAACAAACAGATTTGTCAAAACATGTCAGGATTTTTTTCTTTTCCACTCTGGATTCAGTTTCTTCTGCAGGAAGGTTCTGGTCTGGTTCTGGTTTTCAGATCTTCATCAACACAAAGTTTATTTCTCTTCTTCACATRAAGTTAAAATCTTACCTGATGGAATCTGTTGTTTTAATCCCAACATGTTTGTTTTTCACTGTTTTATTTTTACTTTTTTAAAAGGATCACAGTTTGTGACTCAGACACTTTAAACTCTGATTGTTTAATCTTGTTTTAGTAAAACTGCATTCTGTCAATAAAAGAATGAATTCACTGTTTGAGTAAAAAAAAAATACT